CGTTGAATCAGTCAATGATCCATTGATTTGGGCGGTCAAACCATCAACCTGTTTAGCGGTTTTTGACTATTTTTTATTTATAATTATTTATATTTATTTTTTTGTCACAATGAGCTCCCATTCGAACCGGACAGTCGAACCATCAACACAAAAACCAGTGGCCAGAATGATTTCGTTTCCAAATCATTTTTTAAAACCATAGTAGAGGGTACGAGATACTTTGATGAAGTTGGTTACAAGTGACTTTTTTTAACAATTGGGTATAGGAATACAAGTTGCTATGAAAAAGGTTGATAATGTAGAAATATTGGCTACTTTGAACATTTGTGTACAAGTTACTTGGATCATGATAATGGAACTTTCAAAAGTTGCTTATCTATTATATTTTGGATTCAAAATCCTTGGTTTCTGTTTGTTTTTTTTTTTGTGTGGTTAACAATTAAACAATTGAGTTTTTAGTAACTGCTATATTAACAGTTTGTTAACAATTGGTTTTGTGTATCACTTTAATTATTATATCATTTAAGATTTTGTATCATTTTAAAGAGTTGAATCAGATACCTGGGTCAAATGCGTAGGCAATACAAAGCAGGTCATCTGATTCCTAATCAATTGATTAATTGAGTTATCTCATAATTGAACTGGATACCTAGATCAAATGCCTAGGCAATACAAATCAGGTAATCCATTTCCTAATCAATGGACTAAGTGAATTCTCTCTCTCTCCATTTATTCAATGACAATCTATGAGTCTCCCTCTATACACATTGTCCAGCCATGTCCATGGCATATCCAATTAACATATCTCATAACCCATGGAGATAGAGATGCTTGGTGCTTTTTAGTCCATAGCATATCTAAGTAGCATAGCTCATAATATATCTAGGTAAAGGTAACATAGCTCATAATATATCTAGGTAAAGGTAACATAGCTCATAGCTCACCATCTCTCTCTCTCTCTTTTGGTATGTACAACCCTGAATTAAGTGTAGTATTCAACAATACATCATCTTATAATTCAAGTTCGTAATCATCCTACAACTGAACCATCTAATTCTATTGATTTAAAATTGCATAACCAACACAAATATCTAAATACATACATCTGACCTTTAGCTTAGCTTTAGTTCTCATATATATACAAACAAAAGAACCCAACAATAGATACAATGCTTAAGACTGGCATGGTCTTCAACTCTTCATCCCTTTGATAAGTATTTATTAGGAAGACTCCAATGACTTCAAACGACAATCTAGATCAGCTACTAACTTTTCAACATAGTTCATTGATGAACTGTCTTCATCAGATTAATTTGAGGGATTCAGCCATTAAACAAATTTGTATGGTGGAGGTATGCTCCCCTGTGTATAAGCAAATTCAATGAAAGTTAGCACAAATGCTTAGGGGGAGATGTAAAATATATCCTACTTGGATAGTAACATGTTTTAAAAACCTGAATCACACGTCTCTTCCTACATTTGCGTTCTTTAGGATTGTACTTCAAGTATTTGAAACCTCATTATAAAATTGTGAAGGATTTTTAGTACTGATTTTTCTCATCAGGCTCTAGAATCACTTGATCAATCTTGAATTTATTGCTTGTTCAATCTTCAATTTATCACTCGTTCAATTGTTCAAAATCTCCTTCATTTTTGCTTGTTCAATCTGGAAACAAAAATGGCATTTTAGAAAAATTTAAATTGCACACATGGTTACGTGATTCAGATTTTGAATTTTGAGTACTGAAGTGAGATTAACCTAAAGTATAGGATACAAATATGCAATTTGTATTGTCGATCCAAAGCAATTTAATTATTTTACTTTTGCCACTATATCTATTGGTGGGGTAAAGAAGCAAAAGTGCTGATTTGCTACGTTAGTTGCCCAAATAGCTCAAAGGGAAAAGTTTTTTGGTAGCGATAGGTACTGGTGGTTCTCTCCATCGAATTGGAATCAGCTGAAATGGGATTTTGATTCCACCCAATCAGGTGGGATTGGACCGACCCATTCTGGTTCTGATTCCAAACCTCTACTCCCATGAATCAAACACCCCCTTAGTATTACCATCCTTTTAATAGGGTGGTGCAAATGGATCGGATCATGATTTGATCTCGAAATCCGATCATATTTTGTTATATTCGAATGTCCCCTGTTGGATTTTGGGTTAGATCCAAATTCAGGTCTCCCTATCCCACATTCTCATATAATTAATTAGAGTTGGATATTATTTGACATCCTTAACGATAGGGATGTCAATGGGTTGGGTTCGGCATGGGTTTATCTCAACTCTAACCCGGCGTTGCAGTGCCTCAACCTGAACTCGAAACCAACCCACCTTAAAAATACATAATTTCCGGCCATGACCCAATCCTATAGGATTAGCCCAATACTGACCTGACCTGACTTCTAACATTTCAATTGTATATTTTTAACATGTTTTGAAGACTTAGAATCCATTAATTTAAATTATAAAATTGTTTTATAGATTCTAAGGTATCATTTTTCCCATTAAAAAAATAAAATAAGAAGTAGGGTTTCTTGCAAATAAAAGCAACTTTTTGCACTGAATATCAATAAAATATAATATTTTTATAAAATAACAAAAATAAGATAGCTTTTTTTAAAAAAAATATCAAGGATAATAACACTGTTCATCGTCTTCCTCTGCCCTTCCTTTCGTGATGAGGCCGGAATTCCCTCTGCAACTTTGGTGACTCATCTTCAGCTTTAGTGACTGCAAACAAGTAGAGAACGGGCTAAAAAAATTCAATCGGAAGTAAGCACGTCATCGATTCGTACGGCTTTCAGATTACACCAACTAACGTGTTTACTCGTAATGGGTTTCAGATCCGGAATCCTCATGGTTCATGCATACCGGATTAACCGAAAAAACAAGTGTTCAAAGCATTTCGAAACGTCTTAAACGTGTCAAAATAATGGTGTATGACATCTGGATAACGATGCTCAGCAATCAGCACCGAGATTAAACCGACTCGGACAACTCGTTTTACTCGTTCATTAGTCGCCCCGATACGATCCACCACAACTCACCCACTTAATCCTGAAAAAGAATGGGGCAAAACTCTTCAAAATCGTAATAGACAGAGAGATACTAAGTTCTTTCATTGCCTTTGATCAATCATATCCAAATGTATTTTAGAAAAAAAGGAGGAAAACGAATAAAGAAACCCTCATATGTAGTGATGAAACATTTAACAGGATTTTTCAAGTCTTAAAAACTGCTAGGATCTTGAACAGACAGACCAGATGAAATGCTCGTTAATAGCAAAGAAAATGAAAGAAAGATGGAAAAATCAAACCTGCGTGATTAGGAAGTGATCTCCAGCTTCCGTGGCCGTTCTTCTTAATATACTCAACGAGAATCTCATCACCAGAGCTGCAGAGGGAATTCCGGCCTCCATCACGAGAGAAGGGCATAGGAGGGCGATTAACAATGTCATTTCCCTTTGTTGATATTTTTCAAAAAAAGCTACTTGTTTTTGTTATTTTATAAAAATATTATCTTTTATTAGGGCTGTTTATGGGTCGGGTTGGATCAGTTTATTGAGATTTTTCCAATCGACTCGACTTGGTCGGGTTACCTGAAATTAAAACTGAAACCGACCCCGTGTTAAGCAAAACCGACCTAGTCGGTTTGAGTCGGGTTGGGTCGATTTGGATCGATTTCAGCTCTAAGTCCAACCATTGTAATAAATTGGTAAATTAGGCGTCCGAGAAGTAGCTAGCAACATCATCCAGTAAGGACAACACATAAATTAAGAGAAAATAGGCCAATAACTTTGTGAAGTAGGAGCACCCCCCATGTGCCTGTCTGGTGCAAGTTTGGGTTGCAACTAGGAACTAACTACTAAATCAGTTCGGTTCAGGTCGATTTCAGTTTTCACACATGAAAACCGAAACCGACCGGTCGACCGACTCGGGTTGGGTCGGTTTGATCGGGTTAGGTCTTCTTATGAATAGCCCTATCTTTTATTGATATTCAGGGCAAAAAGTTGCCCTTATCTGCAAGAAACCCTAAAAAGTAACATGTAAATAAAGCTTAAACTTTAAGGCTATAGAGTTTTAAGTCAAAAGTATATATATATATATATACTAACTCTAAAGTATATACTTTAGGGTAAGCCAAAATCCAAACCCATTTCGGGTTGAAGAATCAAAACCCTAACTTGACCCTAAAGTCAAATATGCAAACCCTAACTTGACCCTAAAGTCAAATATGCTAACCCTAACCTGACCCTATAGGATTGGATCAAACCGAATTTACCATTTAGACCCCATTCAATTTTTAGTAAGTTATTTATCTGGGTAAATACACTTGCCCAAGTAAGTGTTTTCCAATAAAGGTTTACCCGGGTAAGTGTATTTACCCGTGTTATTTTATTTCCCATGTAAATATAGCAATGAACATTTTATCCATAAAATTCAATTATTAAAAGAGATATTTTATCCCATTCAAGTGTTGGCAACTTTCCCCCGGCCGAGTAATACCTAGAAAAATAAACTTTTCCTCATCCCCACATAAATCTAGAAAAAGAACAAATCAAAATCCTATTAATCAACTTTCCCTCCTCTCAAAATCCCAAAAAAATACACCCCCTTAACTCAACCCATTCACATCACTAATTAACATATTCAAATCCGGATCCACATATGTGAGATCTGATCGGATCGAATCTACACTAGGGTGGCTGTTTATAATTTACCCTTTTAACATTACAAGGGTAAATAATTTACCCGTGAGTTTATAAAATAGCTGCATTACGTACGGACTTAGTTGGCCTAGGCCCAACCTACATTATGCGGGCTAACCCGGCCCCGGTTTCAGCGTTAAGCCGTTAACTGCTGTTTATATAGACAGACCAAGGTATATAAATAGCATTCGACCAAAATAACTGGGAGGTATAAGTAATTTAATCTCTTAATTAATATACCTTGAGCCGTTGAAAGACCCCAAATCCTTTGTTTTTTTGGTCTCTCCGGTTCCCGCTTCCCCGCATCCTTGTCAGACCCCGTTCCTGTACAAGCTTTTTACTCTGTTTTTTCTTCTCTTTGCACTTCAGAGAGCTATGCAGCCACTTCCTGATTAGATGAACCAAGTCAACAGAGTAAACTGCCATTATCTACTGAACAGGTGTGGAAACTTGAAACAGCTTAAGCAAGTCCATGCCCAATCAATTATACAGGGACTCTACCGTCTCCAATACCTTGCCTGTAAAATTCTCAACAAATACGCCAGTTTCAATGAGGCATTGGATTCCCTAAAGGTTTTTAATCAGATCCAAAACCCAGATGTCATCTCTTGGACCTCTCTCATTAATCTGAACCTAACCATTGATCAACCCCACGAAGCGCTATCAGCTTTCTCAGACTTGGTCATATCGGGTTTAAGACCTGATAACTTTTCCATAGTGGGAGCTCTGTCCGCTTGCGGGCGGATTGGGGATCTGAGTCACGGAAAGATGGTTCATGGGATGATATACAGACATGAGTTGAGTTTTGAGCCAATAGTTGGTAATGCTTTGATCGATATGTATAGCAGAAATGGAGAGATTAAAGTAGCTGAATTGATTTTTAAGGAGATGGAAGTCAAAGATATTGCTTCGTGGACTAGCTTGCTTCATGGGTTTGTCAAATGCAATGACTTGGAATCTGCTCGCTGGGTCTTTGATAGAATGCCGCAGAGAAATTCCATCTCTTGGACTGCAATGATCACTGGTTATATTCGGGGAAGGTCCCCAATTCAAGCACTAGAGCTCTTTCAGAAAATGAAATTAGAAGGAAACAGTCCTCCAACATTGATCACAATTGTAGCCGTCCTCTCTGGCTGTGCTGATATTGGGGCTCTAGATCTTGGCCAATCAATTCATGCCTATATTAACAAAACTGGCCTGGATTCTAATAGTATTACCTTGCACAATGCTCTAATGGATATGTACTCAAAGAGTGGAAGGCTTGACGGGGCAGAGGAGATATTCAGGGAGATGCCTGGTAAGGATATATTTTCATGGACAACGATGATCTCAGGATTAGCATGTCATGGGAACAGTGTCCGTGCTATCGAAGTCTTTGAAGAGATGTTAAGATCAGCAGTCAGCCCCAATGAGGTTACATTTGTTGCAATTCTAACGGCTTGTAGTCATGCAGGAATGGTTACTGAGGGTCGAAGATGGTTTGATAAAATGAGCCAAGTCTATGGATTTGAACCCAGGATTGAGCATTATGGGTGTATGGTGGATCTCTATGGTCGTGCAGGTTTGGTAGAAGAAGCAAAGAAGTTTATAGAACAGATGAGTATTGAAGCAGATGCTGTCATCTGGAGATCATTACTGAGTGCTTGTTTGGTTCAAGGGAATCTAAGATTAGCTGAAATGGCTGGAAAGAAGGTAATTGAGTTAGAACCAGATGATGATGGGGTATATTTACTTCTTTGGAATATATATTGTTCGGTGAAAAGGTGGGACGAAGCCGTGAAAATACGGAAGATGATGAAAGATCTTCAAGTTAAAAAGAGACCAGGGTGTAGCTGGATTGAGGTGAATGGCGTTGTTCATGAGTTCATTGCTGAAGATAGGATTCATTCCCTCCACTCAGAAATTTATATAGTTTTAGAAGTGATCACGGAGCAGTTGAAGATGGACTTATATCAGTGAGATGAATTTTAGCCTTGAGAAAGGTTCACCAATAGCTTTGGAAGAGGAAGGTGATCCTTGTCCAAGGGAAAACGGGTAGGATTAAAGCCAATGCCTATCCCTCTTTTTTGTCGGTTGGATTCCTATTAGTTATAATTTCCTTGAATGAGACAAGGGTGAGAAACCACACATGTTCAAGCTTCAATTTCCATTCAGTGTTAGTAATCCAAGGCTCCTTGTCCTATTATAAGGGTGATTGGATCAAGAGGTGATGCCCGTATCTCTTCTTTAACCACTGGATTCCCATAATTTGAAGTTTACCATCCTCAAACTCCCAGCAATCATTAGTGGTTTCGAAGTGCTTTCCCTTTTATAAGGAAGTCCTGCCATTGCCTTTGATCTGACACACCTTGAACCTATCAATGGCAAGTAGCATTTTTATTTTGTTGGTAGGAGCACAACCTAAAAAATCCTCCAATCATTTTTTTCCAACAATGTTTCTTCCTCATTTATGTGTTGAGTAAGCCTCTTCCTGTTACATTCTTCCATTGAAATTATTGATGTACTTATATAACTGAAAAAGGAGAATACTTATGATTGAATTACAGTTTCTTTTCTTGTCCAAAGGCTTTGTTGAAATGCTGATCTGAAGAATAGTTAAAACAATAGAGATTGGTACAACCTTTGTGTGCTACAATCTGGATATGAAGCTGAGTTATACTTCTTCAGATTGAAGCTGACTATAGGAGCACACCCTAAAAAAATCCTCCAATCATGAATTTCCAACAATGTTTCTACCACATCTATGTATGGGTAAGCCTCTTTATGTAGTATTCTTCCATTGAAATTATTGATGTACTTATATAACTGAAAAAGGAGAATATTTATGATTGAAAGAGTTGGGGTGAGAGAAGAAAGAGATAATTGAAACAGATTGATGTACTTATATAACTTAAAAAGGAGAATATTTATGATTGAAAGAGTTGAGGTGAGAGAAGAAAGAGATAATTGAAACAGAGTTCCTTTCCTTGTCCAATGGCTTTTAAAACAATGGAGATTGGCATAACCTTTATGTACTACTATCTGGATATGAAGCTTTATTATTATTTGGTAGAAATCTGGATATGAATCTGAGTAGCACTTGTTCAGATTGGCCTCTGATTTCCCTTCTGTATGGGAGGAATAGATGTGGGCTGCTGGCATCAGTATTTGGAACCAGGCTTCTAGTACAGCATATCTAGATATTATCCTGTATAGGTCCATTGCATACTCAATTATATATATGTATATATATATATATATATAATTACACTCTTAGGGAGGAGAAGAAAAAAAGCTTGTTGATTTCTCTCTCTCAAAAAAAAAGAAAGAAAAAGTTAGACAGAAATTGATATTTAATTATTTATCTACAAAGGAACCACATGTTTTGATTTTGTCTACAACATATGGAAATGCCTTGGTGGAGACTGGATTTATAGAAAGCAAAAATCATGTGAATTCCCTGAGAACATGACATCCATCTGCACACTGGGAACATCTCCCAATGAATTTAACATACAAGTATGAAAGATATTCTTAATGTACTGTTGGATGCCATGCTCTCAGGGTTCGAATTCACATGACTTTTGCTTTCAGGAGATCCAGGATCGTCCATGCGAACCGCACACATGATTGTGACTCAATGGATGGAGCACTTCATTTTGAACTTGATTTTTCTGTCAATTAATTAATGGACTTAAGTTTTCTTACCGTTGATGGAGTTCCTTTTTTTCCTAACCATTCTTTGATGTCTAAACACATTTTTCTACATTCCATTGTTTTTTCCCCTCACATTGTCTTCTTTCTTAAGATCGAAGGTACCCACTTTATCCTTTGCCTCAACTAATTCTCTACTCTTGTCCAAATCACCCATCCTTGTGATTATGGGTTGAAGTTCTATGCTTGCTCCATTAATGTGCACATAACCATCATCCAAGTCCTATCCCAATCATACAGGGTTTCTACACCGATCCTATTCTTCCATTCTGCTTTGTTTAATGCCATATAGCCTATATCCATAGTGAAATTAATGTGGACATGCTTGTAGTTATATTGGCTTCACTGCATTTAATCCAAGAAGATGATAGATTGATGATGGTTGAAGTTGATTTTGTATGATGAGTACTCTAGGGAGTATAGGTTCTTGACCACCATGGTCCTTTATGCACCAAGCACTCAAGGTTCAAACTTAAAATTGGTGACCCTATTTTCATATCAATTGTTATACATCATCATCATCGATAATTTGATAACAGTTGAAGATGTTAGTGAATAAGGTTTTTAAGGAGGTTGTGTGCTACTTAATGGCTGAAACTGAAGTTGGGTACATCACTACATCCTTGGAAATTGTTATTTTATTATTTTAATATGAAAAAAAAAAAAGTCTTTCAGTTCAGCAACTTCAGCTGTTATCAAATGGGCAACCATGACAAAATCACTTCTAATAATGAGTTGCCAGATTTGACTGGGCTGAAAATTTCTCTCATCCTGAACCTAGCCCCGGTTGGACCCGAGATTCCAACCCGTAACTAACCCGACACATTTCCACCCATTTCTTTCTTCTTTCATCTCTCTTACCCTAAACAGGCTGACACATTCTCAGTCACTCTTTTCTGAGCCAATTTTCCCCCGTTGATCTCTTGAACCTATTCTAGGGCATTGAATCTCCTCTTCTTTTTCGTATGATCTCGCCTTTGCAATGCACAGCATTTGCCCTTGCACTCGAATCGTTCTCCGTATTTCATCTATATAAATAGTGAAACTCTCAGCAAGAAAAAAAAAATCAAGTTGATTCGGTAAGTTTGGCCTCAGCCTGAGAATACTTGGTCCGCGTCTGTGAAAAAGTTCGGCAAAGATGAGCTCTCTGCATGTATTCCTGAACAGCTCGGTTACTCCATCAGTCGATCTTCCACGCTTGTTCAAGCTAGACAAAGGACGATCTTCTTCTACTCGGTGTCTTCGAATCTCGGCTTGTCTTAATCTGGACGTGCAGATATCGTCTTCTGCGAGCTCGAAGAGTTCTTCTGGGAAATTAGGGTTTAGGGAGAGTAAGGAGGTTATGGAAATGGAAGGGAGTCTTTTTGTTGGAACTTATGCTAGAGTTCCGATTGTTCTAGCGAGTGGCAAGGGATGTAAATTGCATGATGTTGAAGGGCGGGAGTATTTGGATATGACTTCTGGGATAGCGGTTAACGCTCTTGGCCATGGAGACCCGGATTGGGTAAAGACAATTACTGAGCAGGCAAACATTCTCACTCACGTCAGTAATGTCTACTATTCCATCCCTCAGGTGAGGATTTCGGCTTGTTGGATTAGTTCTGTTCTGTATAGCTCTCTTACTCCGTGCATCTTTGAGTGTTAAAATGTCCTACACCTAAATTCTTAATGGCGCTTCTGTAATTGAATGTCTACATAATATGCCTTTTAATTTTACAAAGCTGTTTTTACCTGGGCATGGTTCTCAATTATTTCTGGTGTCTGAATTTGCGTGTGGTGGTGGAGGAGGGGAATGGGATCGAAGACCAACAATGTTTTCTATGCTTTAACGTAATTGGAATTAATGCATAAATGAAAAGTGTTACCTTAGGTTACACAATATCATTAACGATTAAGCTGCATGAAACCATAATTTTTTGTTTTCTTTTGGTAATGAGGATTTTTTTACTCACACATATATTTTGATTGTTGTACGGATGGACCAGTTATATCTTCTGAAGCAATACTTGTAAGATTCCCAAATGGGGTACATAGTTTTTAAGGCGCCAAGGCGAGGCTAGGCGACACCTAGGTGATGAATTTTTTTTAAGTAAAACCATATATCTTAGGGTAGTTCCCTAGGTTCTATAACCATTTTTCCTTAATAATTATCCATAATTTTCATAAGAGAAGTATAAATTTCATGTTTTAAGTTTAGAAAATCAACATTTTATGAGAAGAAAAGGAACAAAGGAAAGAAAATTCAAAAAATATAGGGGCTGAACCCCTACTTTTGTTATAGGAAGAGAAGAAAAGAAAAGGTGGAAGAAGAAAAAGATCTGTAAGAATAAAATGTGTTGATTAGACAAAATTTTAGGTTCTTCCCTTGCTTATTAGTTCAGGTTCTGAAATCTTTGAGGATTCAATCAAGGATCAAAACTTCAATACGATACACCCCATATCGGGTGTATTGTATTGTATCTTTGGTGCCCCAATACACATGTTTACAGGTGTTTTTGGGAGCCCATTTTTAAATGTGTGTATTTAAAAATGAATTTGAAAACCAAAGAAATAAAAAAATAGGGAAGTATCGTTATATGTACTGATACACATACACCTCTGCCGATACACAGAGGTGTATCGATACTTTGAACCATGGGTTCAATACAGCAGTTAGCAATGTTTGTATTGATTAAACCCTAACAAATAAGAAAATAATAAAAAGAAATTAGTACATAAACACATAAAATGAGTATTCTAGTTTAATAATGCCTATTTTATAATTATAATGTCAAAAAAATTAAAAATATAAAAGTATTTTATAACATTGTGCACAAAACTACTTGACAATTGGGCGAGGTGAGCCTCCAAGGGCATCTTGTTGCCTAGGCATTGCCTTGACAACTATGATGGGGTATCAAGCCATACAAAGCTAAGATACCAATTGTTGGATAGTTGAAACTTGAAATTGAAAACCATACTAAAGATTATAAAAGAAAAGGGTTAAATACAAAGGACTCTGACCTACCTTGTCAGGTAACACAACAGGACAAATACTACCCCTCCGATCCATTTGTATGTGACATCACATGCCTATTTTATTTTTGAAGCCCAATTTTGCCCTTTGGTGTTGACCATCTGTTCACATTTGAGCGAGAGGTTCCCTGCAATGTGATCGTTCTGAGTTCACCAGAAATTGCAAAGCCTCTCATAATCATGAGTGATTTTGGAGCTCAGGGTTTCTGATTTTTCAATAACAGATTCTTCTCTCTATCTTCTTCTGAGCATTTTCTAGAAATATTGGCCTTTATTCTTTTTTTTTTGTCAGAATCTATTGTCTTTGCAACTCACCTTTATTTTACGTTAAAGAATCTGGAATCTCAGGGTTTCAGTCTCAGATCTTTTTTGCTCTGAAAATGATCTCTAATATCCTCTTCCGAGTGAGCTGTAACATTTTCAGTAAAGGATACCCAGTAGAAGGTTGATCAAAAAAATACCCAGTAGAAGATCAAGAATCTGCAATCACAAGAAATGCAGAAGCTTACAGTAGAAGATCAAGAATCTGCAATCACAAGAAATTTCAAAGGAGAGAGGGAGGGTGATGCTGAAGAAGAGCAAGGGCATGATGAGGTGCAGGAAACAGGAATTGGCCAGATGGATTAGAGTCAGTAAACATGTTAGGTTGAGGGAAGATGAATTGATGGTAACTAGTGGGAATGAAGGAATTTAGGAAAGTACATGCACTCAAACTTTTAAAGAAAAAAGATCTATAGAATGAAGACTCTGGAAGATAGGGATGAAGATGGGGGTGAGTTAGATGAAGAAAATGAGCAAGTGGAGGAGGTGGTATTAAATGAAATACGTCAGATTAACAAAACAGTTGATCTGGAAAAGGTGGTGCATCTAAAGGAGGGGATCGGTAAATCATTGGGTTTGAGATATGTGGGAGGTGAAGAGTTTGAAAGGAAGACATTTAAAGAATTGGAGGAGAAGTATCCTATGAAAAGTAATTCTGGATTTGAAGTAGCTGAACCTTAGGGACTGAAGATGCTCTAGATAATAAGAGGCTAGGGGAAGAAATAAGGGTTGTTGACAAAGAGGGGGGAGTGGTGGATGTTTCCTTGACTTTTGAGAAGAATGCGGTGTTGGAGCTAGAGAGTATTAATGACTGCCCTCTGAATCTGAAAGAATCTAATAGGCTCCCAATGTAGTAAGATACTTTAGAAACCAGAAAATTTGCTGAATTGTTAAGGTTTCAAAAGTTTTTGCAAGGATAAAAGGAGGGCTTTTTTTTGGATTGGACCTAGCAAGAAGGTGAAAAAGTCAAGGAGAATTTCCAAGAGAAGCATTGAGATTCTTATCCAAGTTACAGGAGAAGTTGCTTGGTAGAGGTTGGGTGCTTTGGCATTGTAAGCTGAATTCCAAGGGGGTCAAGTAATTTGGGAGTGGGAGTGTGATAAGGGATTTTGTCAGCTTGATTTGAGGCAGCGATTGAAAAGGCATGCCTAGGCACATAGGTGAGGCACATTTCAAGGACTGTGCCTTGCCTAGGCCTAGGCGTAGCCCCTTTAGAAAGGCATGCACCTGGTGCCTCAGCCTAGGCATGTACCTTTGTTAAATTTTGCGTTTTTTGTACTTTTTTAAGCATGGTAGCTGGGCCAGGGGCTTCATTCCTGGACCCCCAACCAAGCCCCTTGGCAAGCCCATATAAATCCATGCTAAGGTCTTAAGTTCTTAATCCCTAATTGGTTTTATAATTTAGTTTTAGTTCCGTATCTTTTTTTTAAAGGTATTGTATTAAAAAGAATGAAAGGAACAACATTAGTAAAAAGGGGTTCTCTATTTGGGCTTGCCTGAAGCAATTATTTAAAAGGTGCACCTAGGCACACGGGCGAGGTGCATTTTAAGGCACTCATGAAACCTTTTAAGGCTCGTTCTTTCAAAAATTCTCTGTGTACAATCATCTCTAGTTCTAGTCTTGTTCTTCTATTGTTTGCTCTTTTTTGTTTTCAAATTCTAGGGTTTTAGCTCCAGCAATGGTTGTTTTAGATGCTATTATGGATCCATGAAGCAATGACTTCTGGATTTTTAATGTTTTCTGGTCCTAGAGCTAAGGACATTTTTTTCTCTTGCTTTTAGTTAGCTCTTGTTGTTAGCTAATAATTTCTTAGATCATAGCTGGGAAAACTAAAAAATTGAGTTATTTTAGAGGTCCTTATCTTCTCTGTTTTGCAAGGGTTTCCCAAACTTGGAAACAAACAAAGAAAATGGAAGGAGAACAGCAGGCACCAGTATATGAACAGACACTATGGCCATTCTAGTTGGCGGCGAAGTTGTAGGGAATTGATTCTATTATTTTCCACATAGAAGGATATAAGTTTCTTGCAGTTATGGAGTGGTTGTCTGGTTCCTTATGCTTGGTTTGGAAGCTTCCATCAATAGTTTAGTTTGTCTTCTGACTTGGTAGGTCAGAAATGGTTTTCTTTGATTCCATCATAGATCGTTGTGAAGCGGACTTCGTAGAGATCTCATTCTCTATGTTTTTTTCTTCTCTGAGATTGATCCCATCTCATTCTCTATGTTGTTTCATTTTGGATACTTAAATTATGAGTATAAAATTTGCAACTGAGCATTGATCCCATCTCATTCTCTAGTTGTTAAATACCTAGTTGATTCTTAGTTTTCTCAGGCTACCACACCATGAGCATTGACTGGCTAGTTAATGATGTAGTTGGTCTGTCTCTCAGCTGATTAGTTGGTTAACTAGTTGGTGACTAGTTGGCCTTTTAGTAACACAGGTTGAATTACAACTCAAGTTTTTCTTTCCCTATACCCCAATGTATTATTCCACTCCTATTTTTCATTGGTATCCCCCACCTCTCTCTCTCTCTCTCTCTCTCTCTCTCTTGATCAGCAACTCAAAAAATTTTATTAAAACTTAAAGAAAAAGAGATTACAACAAGTTGTTAGGAACAAAACCTTTACAACCAAAAAGACCCACTACCCTTTCAACATTGAGCCCAAAACAAGTGATGTCTATATACTCCTTGCTTAGCTAATCCATCCGCTAACCCATTAGCGGACCTCCTAACCCATCTTACATGAATTTGCAATTGTCTTGATAGCAACTTGAACTGCCTGAACTCATTTCTGAATTGCCATAATACCCCTTCTCTGTTTTCCAACCAATCAATGACTATTTTTTATTTTTGAGTCCCCTTCTACAATCAGCCTTGTGATTCCCATTTCCTTAGCCTTTTGCACCCCAACAATAACAGCCATGAATTCAGCCCTCACCGAATCACCCTGATCCATAGTCCCCAAAAACAAACCACAAATGTTCCCACTCCCATCTTACCCTCCAATTCCGTAGGGTCCCAGATTGCCAAAACCACTTCCATCAAAGTTAAATTTCATCCATCCACCAATTGGGGGAGACCATACCTCCAGGAACTTTTGTTTCCTAGAGGAAGAAAGAGCAAATGATCCCTAGTTTCGAAAAATGTCTTCCACTGGAAAATCTGAAAATAGATTTTAAGTTTTTACCCAGTGAGCTACTCTTACTGTAATAGTCTCTGAGATTGCCTCCTTACTTCTCTCTCTCTCTCTCTTTCATGCACACACACGCGCACATCACCCCCAACCTCCACATTGTGATGGTACAAGGTATAATGATAGCATGCACCTACATTCAGACTTTCACAGATCCATGTGAGACTGGTATTGGAAGTTGGTTGCCAACTTATATGGACCCCATGCAATATACTAAAGATTCAATCTCAATTACTTCTTCAAAAAATATTCTTCTAGTTTAATTGTTCAATAAAATAAATATATTATAATTTATCAAAAAAATAAAATAAATATATTATAGATCTCATATGAGATATTTTTGTCCTCTATATAAATTCATTTAGACACTCTTTTGAGCATTAATTGAAAGAATGAATGACATTTTGCTTACTCTTGTGTTTGATGCTGACTCCAAGCTTATAAAGGTGCTCACTCCTAGAGAAACCTAGTGGTGTGAAATACATTATGCTCTATCTTTGTCCTAATAGCTGATATTATATAATTTGTATTTTTGTAAGTAGATATTGCTATTATAGAATCTCTATATATGAATATATACATATGTTTTTTATTCAGTGTTGACCTTTTGTTCTCACCTTGCTTTATGATGCATGTTTCTCCTTATTTTTCAATTTTATTTTTGCACTGTCTCTCCTTTTTTCTTTGTCGTTTCAGTTATTAAAGCTTCTGCAATCCTTTCATAACCAATACTTTCGATAATCTTAATTTTTCTAACTCTTATGAGACTTTACAACCTATAGGCATGATTCTAATAATCTTTTCCCACCTATCAGTTAGTCCTCTCTTTTATTTAATTTTTAGAAACTACTCTAAGTTTTGTCCATATGCTCTTGCTGGGAGCATTTAAAGCTAAATCTCAAAGCAACAAGCTGAGGAGCATTCTGGCCTGTTCCCAGCTTGATATAGATCATTCCAGCCAATCAGCCACTGTTATTACTTATTGCTTGGAGGTCTGACATCTTACTACCTCTTTTTTCTATGTTGGGAAATGAAAACTTACTGTAAGTATCTATTTGTAAAGGCCATTGCCCAATGTTGGTCCCATCTATCTGGGGAGGGATGGGCTGGATTACAGACCTAACACTTGACAAAGTAGCATTTTTTTAAAAAGCAATTTTAGAAATAGATTGGAAATAACCGTATTGCATTAGTGTTAGTGCAATGCCAATATGCACAAAATAATTAAATACAACAATTATTTTGATTCATCTACAGAGTTCTAAATTCACATAGGTACATGCACATAATAGTTAAAAAAACAATACAACTTACTATTTTCGACATTGTAATGTTTCATAGATATATTACCAATCAAAAAAGTAAAAAATGTTTCATAGATATATTCCAGAGGCACTCCAAGCTTTTGAAGCGTACTAATCTTGGAGCTTCAATGGTTCAATACCACCGATCCTCCCTCTCCAGATCCAACTCCTGCTTCTGAGACATCTTCAGCTCCATCTTGATATTCTCAATTTGCTATATGTTTGGTTTCTTGTTACTTGATTGCTTTCTTTCATGATGGCTAACTAAGAAATACTGTGTTTCTGCAGGTGGAGCTAGCACAACGACTGGTGGAATGTTCTTTTGCCGATCGTGTCTTTTTCTCAAATTCAGGAACAGAGGCAAATGAAGCAGCTATTAAATTTGCTAGGAAGTTTCAAAGGTTTTTGAACCCTGATGAGAAACAGCCAGCTGTGGAGTTTATTTCTTTCTCCAATAGTTTCCACGGGAGAACAATGGGTGCTCTTGCTTTGACAAGTAAAGAGCATTACAGATTGCCTTTTGAACCTGTCATGCCTGGTGTCACTTTCCTAGAATATGGGAACATACAAGCCACAAAAGAAGTGATCCAGCGTGGAAAAACAGCTGCTGTTTTTGTGGAACCTATCCAGGGTGAAGGGGGTATATACAGTGCTACAAAGGAATTCCTGCAGTCACTGCGTAGTGCTTGTGATGATGCTGGAGCTCTCCTGGTCTTTGATGAGGTATGCAGCTATTTAATTTTGAATTATATTCATGGCTTTATAGAACAATGTCATCTGCTTTGCATACCTTGCCCCCAGGGAGTGGGGGTTAGTCACATTGACTTTGTCAATCTCTTACCCGGAAGATATCTTTAATGGGTCCTATGAAGAGATATGTGACCATGAAATCTTCTATGTTGCAGCTTGGGAACTTTTGAAATTAAAAATCTTAAATTTTCTATATCTAGCTTTACTTGTGAAAAAGGTCCGGTGAATGGTGGGTGTAAAGCTTATTTCTCAATCATCTTTTATTTTTGTGCCATTTGACATCCTTTTATTTTAGAAAAAGGCCATTACCAAATGCTGGTCATGACTATCCATTCGACATCCTTTTATTTTTCTGCCATTTGACATCCTTTGGCATTTTTTTGGTCACAAAATGGTTGCTCTGAGGCTTGAACATGCATTTTTATTCTTGGCAGCCCAGGATTTTACCATTGCACCAAGAAATGGCCCGTGATTAGATGTCTGTTACACGTATAATAGTGCTAATGCCAGTTAAACTGCTTGAACATGAACTGTGAACTCTCCATTAGGTGTAGCATGTAAATACTGATACATTGTTTCATGGACATGGATGCTGGAGTCAGCATCTGTTATTTCCCGTGCAGAAATGGCTTGTGCAGTAAAATCAGGGACGCAAATTGGTTAACTTTGATGGTAAACCCTCCTTCACCTGACCCTATTTGATTGGGTGAGATCGGATTTAATTGGGTGTCAGGTAGGTCTCAGATCAAATGAACCTGAGCAATGATGAGTTTGAGTTGAGACAAACCTGACCTGTTTCCATCACCATGTTGTAGTTTCTCTTTGTTTTCCATATTGTTGTAGGTGCTGTTATTTTTCTGTTTCACATATTTTGGTGATATTGCGCTATGTAAATCACTCTTTCTGTTCATTTTTGGGCTTCCATTAAAGCTGTCACACTTGAGATATATAAATCTCTAGCCCTCCCGCAAGACTCATGCACAGACATGCATGCATGCATTCATGCAAAGAAATGCATGGTCTCTGGAGTCTGGACTGCGAATGTGGAAATGTGGTGTTGGTCTTCTCCATTTTGCTTTCTGATGTTGCATGGTTGGAATCCGTATTCCTTTTGTTTATAGGATTACAGCCAAGATTTTATCATTTCAATGGTTTTGCAAGTGTTCTACTCATTAATATACATTATGTCCTTACAACTAAGTGACATTTTTACAACATTAACACACAATATGATTGTGTAAATGACTGCTATGCCTTTATGAAGACCTGGCATGGCATGGCTGAAGGTAATTCTCCTTCAATTTTGGGGGAACTGAGAAGAAATTTGACTTGTAATTACTTTAAATGGGCCTTTATTCAAGATGTGTATATCATGTCATATGTTCATGTGTTTTTCTGATGTTCGTGCCTCCTACAAATTTTATCTTAATGACATCTTGTGTCAGGTTCAATGTGGATTAGGCCGAACTGGGTACCTCTGGGCCTATGAGGCATATGGAGTAACCCCAGACATAATGACGCTTGCAAAGCCTCTTGCTGGAGGTCTACCAATTGGTGCTGTCTTGGTGACAGATAGAGTAGCTGCTGCCATAAAATCCGGTGACCATGGAAGCACTTTTGCTGGTGGCCCCCTTGTCTGCAAAGCTGCCCTCACAGTATTGGAAAAAATTAGGAATCCTGAGTTCTTGGCTACTGTCTCTAAAAAGGGCCAGTCCTTTAAGAAGTTGTTATCTGAGAAGCTAGGGAAAAACCCCCATGTGAAAGAAGTACGTGGGCTTGGACTCATTATTGGGATTGAACTAGATATTCCAGCTTCGCCACTCGTAGATGCATGCCGAGATTCAGGCCTTCTTATCTTGACTGCTGGAAAAGGAAACGTAGCAAGGCTTGTGCCACCACTAGTTATATCTGAGCAAGAATTAGAACATGCAGCTGAGATTCTGTTGAAGTGCTTGCCTGTTCTTGATTCAAACTAGCAATGAGAGATCAGTAGTAGCATGTAAATGTTGTAACTTCTCGTATTTACACCAAAATGGATTTATGTTTAGTGAAGCACTTAATTACATTTAACCATTTATGATTTATTATAAATGGTGGTTGTTTAGCTTGAAAATATTGGAAGTTGTGCCATTAGATCCGTGCTGAGAAGTAGACAAACGAGAGTCACCAAAGTTATTAGATTGGTTTTGTGAATGCTATTCTATCTTGTGTTTTAACACAATGCCCTTTTCAGCTTCAAATGATCTTTGAAGTTGGAGCTTTAAGGAGATCAAATTTGGATTGACTCCTGTATATCCAAATTGAATCTGATCAGATATTTACATATGTTCTGAAATCAGAATATGTGAAGGGATGCTATCTACGCAGAGAAGAAGAGAGTTAAGGGTGATTTGAATGGAAAAAAAAATGGGAGGGCTTAACTTCAAATTTGTCAAGTTTAAGAAAAGTACTGTTTTTTTTTTCCAATAACAGATTCATACAATTCAAAGTCCATGAGGCTCCGTTTGGAAAGAGTACAAATACAAATTTGTACAGTATACATATATACAAAATACAATGTTTTGCACTCTACATCTTTGTATTTGTATTTGTACTCCTTCCAAGCAGCATTTATTAAAATTTGAAGATCAAAATTTTGGTCATCCTACACCCATTTACATGCCTCCTCAAACAAGCCTCTTCCAAAAGCTTCATCAAAGCACCTGTGCCCAATGTGGATTCTTAGTGGTAATCAATATGAAATATCGTACTATAATGACTACATTATTCTAAAACGTTTTAGGAATTTCAATATATTGATAATATGAATGAGAAACCTGATGGATAATGTCATGATGTTAAATATATTGCTAAAATCAAATCAAGAAATATTCACTACCATTGTTAGAATGCAGAATTTTAATAAGTTAAGAACACCAATTTGTGTTCTCATTTTAATTGCCATTATCTGCAAAAGACTTTAGGAATTCAATTGTTATTTAATTGAAATGTCTATTAATTATCTCTTCATTTAATTTAGTATTAATTTAATGCTTTATTGGTGAAACCAGGTAAGGCTGCGTATATCTGTCTCTCTCCAGATCCTGCATTGACAAGAGCTTTGTGAAATATAGTTGGGATAAGGCATGAATGATGATGGATAAGGCATGAATGATGATGATAATTAATTCAATTTTCTATTTATTATATTAGAAATATTGTTTAATATAAAAGGCTAAATATAAATACTTATGTAAGATTAAATGTCTAATAATATAAAAAAATAAACAAATCAATTAATTTGGTTGGCTCATTCCTATATTTTATATTACTATTAATCCTCTCTAAATTTAATTTTATATTAGTCTAATACTCTATGAAAGGTTTTGCAGATATGTCTATAAAAAAAGTATAAATCATTGAAGTAGTCCATATTTTTCGAATTTTAATATTACATACACGTGATTAAATCAAAGAAATGATTAGCATATCGTTACTCTAAATTGCATATAGAAGAGGACTGGGTTCATGCTAGCAATTCAATTGTCTTGGTTCCATGAGATTATAAATCATATAATAAAAATATAAAAATATCTAGAAAAAAATACCAAAGTTTACAAAAAATTGGTCATGTCTTTAAGGCCGTAATCGGGTCAGAGTCGGATTGTATCCAGTCACACATCTATCTGGCTCCACTTTATTGTGTTAAATTTTAGGGGTGAATGCCTCTATCCATGCTAAGACATGGTTATTCGTGTCTGATGTCTAACCTGATTAGTTTTAAATTTTGAGAAGGCAATAAATTATCAATAAGGGGCTACATGAAAAGCTTTGGAATGTCATATAGCTTCTTTGTCAATTTCATTTAAGCATCACACGGGTTATGACTAGTTTACACTAAAAAGTGAAAGGTATTTGGCAAGACACATCTCCCTTGATATCGTAGGTAGCCAAAAACAAGCCCTTCTTGGATATCCTAATTAGAAATTACAATGGCTCTCATCTTTCAGGAAGAAACTTGGAAGAAAGTAGGGTTTATGATTCATTGGATTCTTGGAGTGAGCATGTGATTGGTCTAGGGAGGCAGTTTGAACTTTGAATTAGCCACATCATCAATACACATGGTAATTATAATGTAAGATAGCTCCCTACTTGATCCAATCAGTTAATCATATATGCACATGCATGTATCTTGTGTATGTGTGTATACAAGTACACCAAACAAGTTCTTCAACTGATAATTACAAAGCTATAGTATCTTACAGTTGTAGTTGTCAACTACAAATATAATGTTAATTGTTAAAACAAGAACATGTTGCACTCAAGTTCTTCAACAATTTTAGAAACATTTTACTTAAAAACAATTTGGCTAGTTGTGCAAAGCATCAAAAGCTATAAGATCAACCCCTTTATTTCTAATCACCAATCTCCTCGGTCTTCATCTGACTGTGACTTGTCTTCTCCAACAAGAAGCTCAACAACCCTACTCATGGGAGGCCTTGTATTGCGGTCTTCTCCCACACATAGCAATGCAACACTTTCAAACTTCTTGAGCTTTTCAATATCATACTCGCCATCAAGTGTAGGATCAACAATTTCACTGATCCCTTGTCTTTGCTTTGCCTTTTGCCTTGCCCACTGAACCAAGTGGTTGCAGTCGTTCTCTTGGGGTTCTTCCAATCTAAATCCTAATGCACCCTTCCCACTGAGCAATTCCAACAAGACAATACCATAGCTGTAGACATCTGCCTTTGCATCAATTTCTAGGTTCATCATCCACTCAGGGGCCAGATAACCTCTGGTTCCACGAACCCTTGAAAAACCTGAATTTTGGTTCTTCATTACAAGCTTTGACATTCCAAAGTCTGTCACCTTAGGTTGGAGATCCTTATCCAACAGTATGTTCTGAGGCTTTATATCACAGCTCAGAATCCACTCCAGACACTCCTCGTGTAGGTAAGAAACCTCTGGCTGTCCCTAGAGCAAATATTATACCTATGATCCCACCCTAACATCCTAGATGAATCTGAGAAAAAGATTTTATCCAAGGATCCACACTCCAAGTATTCATAAACTAAAAGCTTATTCTTAGCCTCGGCGCAGAAGCCTAACATCTTCACTAAGTTCATGTGGTTAATTCTCCCAATGATATTTACCTCTGCCCAAAATTCTGCATCCCCTTGTTGTACTCCTTCCAGTCGCTTCACAGCAATAGCTCTTCCATTGTTCAGAACTCCTTTATATACTGTGCCAGAGCCTCCCTTACCTATCTCTTCTTGGAAGTTCTTAGTTGCTGTCTTTAGCTCAGAAAAAAATGAAATGCTTGAAACCCATAGCAAGTGCAATGTAACCCATTTTAGTTTCTGTATTTATATCGTTTCTATGATAAGCATACCACCACCCTAGACCCATACAGACAATTTCTACAATTGCAAGAGCAGCAATGCACCCGATTAAGTATTTCATGTACGAGTTTTTGTCTGTACCTCCTTCTCTAGCATAATTTCTGATTATGATCTCCTTAGCTGAACAGTTCATAAGATATGTTTTGAACATTTCAGGGTCTGACTGAGTGATCTTCATTCCTCTTGGGATCTTGATATACATGGTAGTGGCAGTGTTGGGCATATGATACCCATTTAATAAAATGCTTTTGGGAAAGCATTGCCCTTGTCATCCAATGCATATCCAAAACCCTTGCATTTACTCAGGCAGGCATTCATGCATGTTTCAAAGGTAATATTGATACCATAGTTGCTTAAGTCATACCCATAGTAATCAGTGTGATGAAGCTCCATGAAATCCAACTCAGCTGGATTAGAGGTCAGGTTAAACAGAGGAGAGCAACCTTTGGACCAGTCAGAAGGGTCAGCCAATGTTGAAACCTTCTGGGCATTTGCAAGTAGGAAATGGGGAATAACTACAGATACCATTTAACCACACAGTTCATGAACTTGGTATGCTTTCACACTACTGGGTAACCATGAAATTTTCCAATGTCCAGTCCACTCATCTAGGGTATACATTCTCAAGATTCCATCATAATCTAATGTTAGTCTTCGTTTGGGGCCCAAACCATAGTCAGATGCATTGAATTTCAAGTTATCACTTGATCTAAACCGACCCTTCTCGTTTAAGAATGCTACCCTGGAGCTATTGTAAGAACTTCTGCCATTTGAGAAGACTGTTGAAGCTATACTGGGCCAATACACACTAGAAAATTGAGGCCCGTTGTAGATAAGATTTAGTATGTTGTTGTCATCAGTATAAGTTGTAACAGCCAGATGAGTATATACCTTGACTTCTCATAGAGATCAAGGTTTTATTCTTGGTGAGCGACTGGGAAGGAAGAAGAGTGTCTGGGAAAATTGAAGCTCTCCCAAATGATCATCCCATGAACTTGGTTGATGATGACCAGATTTCCTGTTTCAAGAAGTTGCACTTCCACATCTTCCTCCGAAAATGTGCTAGACGACCAAATCACTGAATTGTCTGCATCGGTTAATACCAAGATGCCATTTTTGCGAAGGATTAACTTGGAACGCTTCCCATTCACTGGCTGGTCTCTGTTTGCCATCCATACAATTGTTTTAGTTTGTGAACTAGATTGAGTAACAATAGGCATTGTTACCCACCCTGTGAAATCCACTTGAGAAAGTACCCTCTGGTGAAGTCAAGAAATCGCTTTCTTTCTCAACAGACAAGGAGCTTCCTTGTAACCCTTTTGACTCTACTAGAACCCAGGCTATAGTAGGTGCAAGTAGCAGGAGAGAAAACAAGTTGATGAGTGTGGCAAGGAGTTGAACTTCCATTGTTGGTGGCATAGTGCCTGGAATGAGAAATGATTTATAGATCTTTGGGAGATAGTTTTCTTTCTTCCTGTCTATGCTATCTGATATTCTTGTTCTTCTCTTCTTAAATAGATAGGAGATGCCATGCTGATGCTGTTCATTGCTACTATTGAGACTGCCAGTTCAAAAAAAAAAAAATAGTAGGTCAATGTTTATTTATTAATTTAGCACAAATGAAAGTCAGAACAAGATTAAATTAAAAAAAAAAAAATTATAGCTCAAAATTTCTTAGGTGGTGGGGAGGAAGAGGCTGCCTTAAAATTTATAGATAATTTGAACAAAAATCTAGACCTGACCAGTGTTTTAAAAGGCGTGGGAGGCATAGCCTCCAGGCGAGGCGCCCCCAAAACGCCTGGAGGCGCATGACAGAAGCGTCCAGGGAGGCATACACTTCTGGCACACCTTTGGAAAGATACTTACGCCTCCCATGTGTGATGTATTTAAACATTTAACAAATTATTTGTTTTAATTTTTTTATGTTCTAATTGGTGGGGCCACGATTATATCATGGCCCCATTGTATACAACTATTTTTTATGTCTAAAAGAGGGGGAAATAACCCTCTTTCGAACCCAAACTCTAGGGCTCAAAAGAACTATGAAGTCTGAACTGTGAAACCTCTGCTAAGTGCAAACTGCGAAGAAGCTCTACTCTGTTTCTTCTTCTTCTTCTTCTTCTTCTTCTTCTTCTTCTTCTTCTTCTTCTTCTTCTTCTTCCGTACTCACAACCTGCAACTTCGAGCAACCTGCAAGCAATAAGTTTTCATTTCCCAACATAGAAAGAAGAGGTAGTATGATGTCAGACCTCCAAGCAATAAGTAAAAACAGTGGCTGACTGGCTGGAATGATCTATATCAAGCTGGGAACAGGCCAGAAGGCCCCTCAGCTTGTTTGCTTTGAGATTTAGCTTTAAATGCTCCCAGCAAGAGCATATGGACAAAACTTAGAGTAGTTTCCAAAATTAAATAAAAGAGAGGACTAACTGATAGGTGGCAAAAGATTATTAGAATCATGCCTATAGGTTGCAAAGTCTCATAAGAGTTGGAAAAATTAAGAGTATCAAAAGTATTGGTCATGAAAGGATTGCAGAAGCTTTAATAACTGAAACGACAAAGAAAAAAAGAGAGATGGTGCAAGAATAAAATTGAAAAATAAGGAGAAACATGCATCATAAAGACAAGGTGAGAACAAAAGGTCAACAATGAATAAAAAATATATGTATATATTCATATATAGAGATTCTATAATAGCAATATCTACATACAAAAATACAAATTATATAATATCAGCTATTAGAACAAAGATAGAGCATAATGTATTTCACACCACTAGGTTTCTCTAGGAGTGAGCACCTTTATAAGCTTGGAGTCAGCATCAAACACAAGATGACAAGAGTAAGCACAATCTCATTCATTCTTTCAATTAATGCTCAAAAGAGTGTCTACATGATATTATATAGAGGATAAAAATATCTCATTTGAGATCTATAATATATTTATTTTATTGAACAATTAAACTAGAAGAAATATTTTTTGAAGAAGTAATTGAGATTGAATCTTTTGTATATTGCATGGGGTCCATATAAGTTGGCAACCAACTTCCCATACCAGTCTCACATGGATTTGTGAAAGTCTGAATGTAGGTGCATGCTATCATTGTACCTTGTACCATCACAATGTGGAGGTTGGGGGTGATGTGCGTGTGTATGTGTGAAAGAGAGAGAGAGAAAGAGAGAGAGAGAGAGAGAGAGAGAGAAGTAAGGAGGCAATCTCAGAGACTATTACAGTAAGAGTAGCTCACTGGGTAAAGACTTAAAATCTATTGTCAGATTTTCCAGTGGAAGACATTTTTCAAAACTAGGAGCCATTTGCTCTTTCTTCCTCTAGGAAATAAAAGTTCCTGGAGGTATGGCCTCCCCCAATTGGTGGGATGAAATTTAATTTTGATAGAAGTGGTTTTGGCAATCCGGGACCCTACGGAATTGGAGGGGTGATTCAAAATGGGAGTGGGAACATTTGTGGATTGTTTTTGGGGACTATGGATCAGAGTGATTCAGTGAGGGCTGAATTCATGGCTGTTATTGTTGGGGTGCAAAAGGCTAAGGAAATGGGAATCACAAGGCTGATTGTACAAGGGGACTCAAAATTCAAAAATAGTCATTGATTGGTTGAAAAAAGGAGAAGGCGTATTATGGCAATTCAGAAATGAATTCAGGCAGTTCAAGTTGCTATCAAGACAATTGCAAATTCATGTAAGATGGGTTAGGAGGTCCGCTAATGGGTTGGCGAATGGATTAGCTAAGCAAGGAGTATATAGACATCACTTGTTTTGGGCTCAATGTTGAAAGGGTGGTGGGTCTTTTTGGTTGTGAAGGGTTTTGTTCCTAACAACTTGTAATCTCTTTTTCTTTAAGTTTTAATAAATTTTTTTGAGTTGTTGATCAAGAGAGAGAGAGAGAGGTGGGGAGGTGCCAATGAAAAATAGGAGTGGAATAATACAGTGGGGTATAAGGAAAGAAAAACTTGAGTTGTAATTCAACCTGTGTTACTAAAAGGCCAACTAGTCATCAACTAGTTAACCAACTAATCAGCTGAGAGCATTTATCAAAAAAATAACTAATCAGCTGAGAACGGACCAACTACATCATTAACAAGCCAGTCAATGCTCATAGTGTGGTAGCCTGAGAAAACTAAGAATCAACTAGGTATTTAACAACTAGTAAGACAAAATTATTTTAAAGCTTCATATGTTATTCTTTACCACTAATTATTTAAAATAATAGTATATGATTTTATTTTGTTATATGCACTATGTTGCTTTAACACACTTCAAATAGCAGAGCCCATATAGTTGGGACAAGGCTTAGTTGAGTTGATTTGAGTAGTATATATAAGCCTTGATATCTATGTAGCAATGGAGCATGGCAATCTAAGAATGTGATACAAAATGATCTGAACCCATCGTGAATTGACATTAGAAGACCCAAACCTAATACTAATTCATTTAGGACCATTGCAAACTCATCCCAGTAGGGGTGATTGGAGAGTGGGGATGGTTACCCGATTTACCACTCCATTGACATTCCTTCCTTGCAATCTTTCTTTTGGGATAATTGTACAAAACCTTCACCTCTCATTTCCACCTCCAACTTCCTCAACAACAGATATATGCACTCAGATTCTGGATGGGATCTATCAGCAGCTAAGAAAGTATGGACCTTGCTTCCAACCACAATGGAACTATAACCTGGCAACCCCTTCAACCTTCTTCCCTTAATTAGAGTTCTAATCACTTCAACATTATCCCAATTTCCATCGTCTGCATATATGTTAGACAATAACACATAATAGCCAGCATGATTTGGATCTAATTGGAAGAGATTTTTAGCAGCAGTCTCCCCTAGCTCAACATTATGGTGAATCCTACAAGCACCAAGCAAGGCCCCCCAAACATGGGGACTTGCTGGAACTGGCATCTGATTAATAAGATTCATGGCTTTATCCAATTCCCCAGAACGTCCTAGAAGATCAACCATAACACTGTAATGTTCTGAATTTGGCTGGATCTTGTATTCTTGTACCATTTTATTGAAAATCTCAATCCCCTCTTCCACCAAATTGGCATGACTACAAGCAGATAAGATTGAAAGGAATGTAACATGGTTAGGCTGAAGTAACGAGGCCTCAATCATCTGATCAAGTGTTTGAAGGGCTTCTCTTCCTTTGCCATGAATTCCATAACCTGCAATCATTGAACTCCAGACAACAACATCTCTTTCACCCATGCCCTTGAAAACCTTGATGGCACTGTCCAAGCTGCCACATTTGCAATATAATTCTATGAGTGCAGCCCCCACAAAAGCTTTTTTATCAAATCCACTCCTAATCAGGTAACCATGAAGGCACAGAGCCTGCAGGAGAATTCCCATGTCTGAACAAGCACTCAGAAGCTTCACCATAGCAACAGCATCTGGCCAAGTATTATTGCACAACATACTACGGAAAACTCTTACAGACTCATTTGCCAGTCCATTCCAAGCATACCCACTTATCAAAGTGGCCCAAGAAACCACATCCTTGTTGGGCATTCTTTTGAACAGTTTAATTGCATCACCAAGACATGAACACTTCATGTACATATCCAGCAAAGCCGTAGATACCATAATATCTAACTCACAACCCTTCTGAATAGCAAGCTCATGGATCCTCCTTCCTTCTTTTAAATGGAAAGATGTTGCACATGCTTGTAGAGCACTAACCATAGTGACTGAATTGGGTTCTAGCTTCTTCTCAATCATTTCATTGAAGAGATTCAAAGCTTCAATGGCCTTTGCATTCTGAGCATAACAAGCAACCATAGAGCTCCAAGAAATAAGATCCTTCTCAGGCATCATGTTGAACAGATTCCTAGCACTATTTACAGAAGCAGTCTTTGCATATAAATTCAACAAGGAATTAACTAGAGATAAATCAATACCCCACCCTCTTTTAATTGAAAATCCATGAATACATCTTCCCAACTTGAGATTCATCAACTCTGCACAAGCAGAAGTGACACTAACAAGTGTCACTGGATCAGGAGTCGCACCTTCCGACACTACCATCCGGGTGAAGAATGACAGAGCCCCCTCTGCATGACCGTTCTGCTGATACCCAGTAACCATAGAAGTCCATAAAACAACATCAGGTTGAGGATAGTCCTGAAACACTCGTAGAGCATCATCCATTTTTCCACATTTCGCATACAACTCAATCAGAGCAACACCTACAAACATATCTGAATCAACACAATCGATCTTCTTAACCAACCCATGGATCGTCTGGCCAGTCTTGAGAGCCAATAATCCTGCACAGGCCTTTAAAGCAATGGGTACCGTGAAATTGTCGGGCTTTTGGTCTATGGTAATAGCTGTTGACATCATGCAAAGGAAGAGATGTAATGTTTCTTGCCATTGCTTTTCCCTGGAGTAGGCCCTGAGTACAGAGTTCCACAAATAGATGGTTTGTTGAGGGGTTTCGTCAAATAATTTCCGTGCAGCAGCAACGGAGGTGTACTTGGCATAATAGGTGCTTAGTTTAGTGGCGAAGAAGCTGTCATGGAGGAGCCCACTTTTGAGGATATGAGAGTGGAGTTGCACAATAGATCTAACATCCTTGCATGACTCAAAGAGATGGGAGATGAACTCCCTGTGTTTCATTCAACCAAGGTTGACAAAAGCAAGAGATCTTCAGAAAACATTCTGACTATGGAATATAGAAAGAATCCATCTCACCCATGCTGCAATAAGAGAATTCTGTAGTCAGATTAGAATCAGGTTGGAAATCAACTTAGTTTAAGTGATTGAACAGAAAATAAAATAAAAAGGCCAAAGCTAAACCAAAATTGAATGAAAAAATTAGTGCACACCATGTAGGGTCTGTGGTCAACCTATCAAGCCAAACAAGTAGCTATGGGGTTGCAAGAACTGGATGGGTTGAGTTGGGTGTGGGTTATCATTAACCACTGCAACCAAAAACAACCCAGCCCAAACAGAGTTAATTGGCTGATAGAGCATGCCCCACAGCATTGTTCCCAATGCACGGTTGGGATGTGTTGTGGTGCGTGTAGGGTCAATTTGTGGGGAACAAATCCAAACTCTAATGGAATTTGCATGGGCTCCCCACGGAGTGTACCCTGCAGTTTTTTGCAGAAAATGCATGAAAATACAAAAGTCTTGAAGAAAAATGCATGAAATGCAGAAATTTTACAGAAAATGCATAAATTTTGCAGAACATTTGTAGAAAATGCAGAGATTTTGCAGAAAATGTGGAAAACTACAGAAATTGCAGAAACATGCATGAAAATTCAAAAAATGCAGAAAATTTGCAGGAATTTTAGAAAAAAAGGCATGAAAACACAAAAGTTTTGCCAAAAAATTGCAAAAAATGCAGAAATTATAAAAAAAAAGCATAAAAATGTGAAAAGTTACAAAGAATTGCATATCATTGCAGGAATCATCACATATTTAATATGATTTGATTACTCTGAAGCTAGTATTCTATTATACAAACTACTAATACATCCAATCATTACAGTATTTAACTAAAGATTCTCCTACTGGCACTTGTTATCAAAGAACATAAAACAACCTGCACTGTAAGGTTTCCTACTTGCAAAACAGCTCCAATAAAAGAAAACATACAGCACACTCTAGTCTCACCCTGTTAAACTAAAAAAGAAAATTATTAACTTCATAATACATCATACTGAAAAGAAAAATATTTCCCAAATAGGTTGGATATCTTTGTTTGTGGTGATCAGGTATGCAAGGGAATTCCCCATTAGAGATGCATTTGTTTGTTAGGTTTATATTCACTAGTATGACAAGGAAAAACCATTTTGAGTGGTTTGTGATGATGTTTCGCTGTGAACAATGATAGTGATTCATGTATTAACGAACTGAATGTGTTGTGTGGAAAGAACCATTGTTAAAAAAAAATTTGCTATCCATCAACATGGCTTAATTTCTACACCATCAGAGATGGGAGTGCATTGATCTTGTTTTGTACTCTTTCTATAGGTAAATTCCTGGGTTTGGTTCTTTTCTTTCCCAATACATGTGATGCCTTTTCTCCAGATCAATCTAAATCTCAATAATAAGTTCTAATTAAGTAGATTAGTGGAAACAATGTCTTTGCTTTCAATCTTAAAGATGGAGAGTTTTCTGCTTTTACTTCACAGGGCAGGCTGTGTAATGGGAGGTGAGATGGACTGGAGCTTGTAGAATAGACTTATGCAGGACATCTTGGTCTTTAACTTACAGAATTACAGTTTCTAAGCTCGGTATACTTTATTGCCGTGCATGAGGAACAAAAAATTAGCACAACATAAGTGGAATTCATGTACTAGTAATTTGACATTTCATATAGGCTGAATGATCTGACTGCTAAACTGATAAAACCATGATCCATTAAGCTTTTTGATTTTTCATCTAGTCCAAATTTAACAACATTAGCCACTCCTAAATCAACCTTTAACTATATGTAATTAAGTCTACAGGATAAGTTGGGTTGGATTGGGATCAATTGAGGTTTGTCTAATTTCTTTCTTTCTTTCACTAGGGTCCCATCCGATGACAGCCTAGTCCGGCCTCTAAAGGTTGGGATCAATTGACAAATTATTTTCCATCATCCTATAGAATTACACATAAAAAAAGATAGATATAAAAAAACTAAAGAAATTATTTATTAATTAATAGGACGGAATGAGTTAATCAGCCATCTAAGAAGAAAATATTCACTACCCACAAGATGGGAATCATTCCTACAATTAAAATGAGATCAACATAGCCGTAACTATCCAATAGCTACCTAACTAATCTCTATTGTGTTTCTGCCCATTAAATAAACATTAAGGCTAATGACAATCGTTAAATCCACACCTTTTCAAAAGGTTTCAAAACAATACAAGGAAACTCATCACATAAAAAAAAAAAAAAAAATCACTACCAATGCATGATGGAAGTGATTCAGCTTCATAACCAAACTCGGTATACAACAAACAAATCCCATTAATCCACCGAACATGCATTTAAACGAAAGAGACTAGCAGATTTCTGGCACAGCGAATAGATCAAGATTTAATGTCAAGTTGTCTTTAGTTATAGACATAGAACCAAACAATACAAAAAGAAAATAAAAATGCCAATTCAGATGTCCTTGATTCGGCCCAGAGAACTACTGCTTGCTCATAAATGAATTAGGAAGGGCATCAGATAGAGAAAAATAAAATAAAATAAAATACAAATGAACAAATCGTTAATAAGCCAACCAGTGCACGGAAATGTTAGTTAAGTTAACAGATTAATAGGAAACAATACAAAGTTATAGGATAAATGAGAAAATAAAGAAATAAACCGAAGCTAATGGAGTTAAAACCAAAAACCGGAGAAGTTCGCTTTGAATGTTGCCTTCGAATCAGAATTCAGAGCCACGCAGTTGATATTGGATAGATAACTGCATGTGTATGAATGGAATACCAGGGGATCATGGTTGGTTCATCGATGGTGGGCCCTTTCCAATCGCCACGAAGCCTGAAACGGGTTGCGAACTAGAGCTGAGATGTTACTCTTCCCGGTTGACACCTTGGATTCTCATTGGATACAGAGATTGGCCAGAGATAAAGGAGCCTTGGAGGGGTGTGCTCTGTCTAGGTTGTTGCAGCGGTGAATAGAGAGGGGGAATGAAAGAAAAAAAAAAGGAAGAGAATGGAGTGAGGGAGAGAAGGTCCAGATGAATGAGAGACAGAGGAGAAGATGAGAGAGATTGGGGAAGAGGTGACGGACTGATTCAGTTCTGACAATCCAATCGTTGCTGTGGTAGCGGCGGTTTCACAGGGGAATAGAAGGAAAAAGAAAACAGTAAAAAAAATTACAAAGAATAAAAAGAATAGAGAGAGGGGGATTTCAGGTGGGGAGATGAGTTGCAGTGGAGGGATGACCTGTACTGGAAGAAGAAGAACTTGGGAAGAAGCTTGCCGCCACTCTCTTAGTGTCGAGAACTTGAAGACGAACAGTACGTGGGTGCTGGCTGGTGAGAAAGAGAGGAGGAGGGAGAATGAGAGGAATAGAGACAAAGGGGAGAAAATGAGAGAAGGGCTAATTAGAGAGGTGGCGATCAAGGGAATGCCGCCGTTGCCAGAAGTTGCAGCGGCGGTGATCGTGGAACAAAAGATACGGAGAGAGAGTTGGGGAGGAAGAAAGAGGAGAGGAGAAGCCAGAGAGAAAAAAGAAACTACCGCTGTTGTGACCTACAGAGGTGGTGGAGCAGAAGAGGGTGGAACCAAAAATGAAGAAGAAGAAAGAAAAGAAGATTAGGGGAGGAGAAGAAGAGAGGAAGAAAGACGGATAGAGTTGCCGCCGCTAGGTTGAACAGATTGAAGGAGATCCCCGGTGAACAGTAGCCCTCTGGCCGATCCCACCTTTTCCTTTCGAACGAAAGAAAGTTTAAATAAGAACTTAAAATGGCATTTTGGTAATTTTGGAGATCCGAGGGTAATTCGGTAATTTTGTGAATTCGGGTCAAAATCTGTCCATGGGTCAAACCGGGTTTTTGGTTCAACGATGGGGTTTTTGGGTTGATGATTAGAGGGTTAGGATGGATTTGACCGCGGAGTGGGGTCGTGCATGTGTGGGCCAATGAGATCAGCTGAAATAGAATCTTTTTAAATGGAATGGTGAAAAAGGTATTTTTGGCTGAAATTTCACACGATGGGGTTTTTGGACATTCTGAGTTGATTGGTGGAGTTAGATTGGCTTAATTGGTTTGGATTGGTCAAATTTGGATAGGGTTTGATTCAATCAATCTAGAATCTCAAAACAAAATCTTTGTGTAATTGAAGGGCAAACAAGGTCTGCTTTGGATGCAATTTCTCAGGAAAGGATTTTTGGATATTCCAGATCAGTTGGTGGGGTCATATTGGCTTAACGGTGCTTGGATCAAGAAAACTTAAGGTATAAAAATTTTGATTAACGAAAAAACTCAAAATGGAACCTTCGTTTTCTAGAGGGGCAAATGGAAGAATTTTGAGTTGAAGTTTAACAAGATGAGGTTTTTAAGGGGCCTGGCTGAATTCGTGGGGTTTGATTGGTTCAAATGTGTTCATATCGAGGCAATTTGTGGTTCGTGCAATTTAGCATGCGAGAAAAGCCCATGATGGAATTTTTATTCGATGGATGGGTAGATGGAGGAATTTTGAGTTAAAGTTTTGTAGGATTGGATTTCTAAATGTCTTTGATGAATTGATAAGATTTGATCGGTTCAAATGTATTCGGATCGAGGGAATTTGAAGTGTGGGTGGTTTGACCAATGAAATTGCTTAAATCGGAATCTTTTTCGTATAAGGGGTAGAATGGAAGTTTTAGGTCTGAAATTTGGTGAATGGGTGATCGGAAGGAAGGTTAAGGAAGATTTTGGTAAGGTTTAGGGGCCTTGGAAAAAGTGTCATGATGTAGATCTTTGATTTTGGGAGTAACAAGTGATGAGAGGGCTCGAATCAGAATTTTTTTCATGAGAGGGGTAAAATGGGGATTTTATGCCTAAAATTAAGTGAATGGATGATCGGGGGATTGATGGAGGCTTTGACGAGTTTAGAGGTGTTGAACGATGTATGACAATGGATGTCTTAAATTTGGGGTGTATAGGGAAACGAGGATTGTCCATTTAGAATATTTTTAAGTGAAGGGCAAAATGGTCATTTTAGGGCATAAAATGTGATGAATCATCGATCGGGAGGTTTGATGGGGTTTGAAGGTGCTGGATGATGTGTAATGATGGATATCTTTGATTTGGAGAGTGACAACAAATAAAAATGATTTATTTGGAATCCTTTTAAGTAAAGGGCGAAATGTTCATTTTGAGATTTAAAATTTGATGGATGGTCGATCGAGAGGTTGATGAAAGTTTTGATGATGTCAGGGTATTTAGATTGTAGGTTTTAGTCGTAATATTTGGTTCTTCAAAATGGAATATTCGATGAGTGGATGGCGAAATAAAGGAATTTAAGGTTGAAATTTGGATCATGGGTTTTAGTCATAGCGTCTCGTTCGTCAAAATGGAATCTTCAATGAATGGATGGTGAAAATCAATAAATTTAAAGTTGAGATTTGAATCGTGGGTTTTAGTCATAGCGTCTGGTTCATCAAAATGGAATTTTGATAGGTGGATGGTGAAATCAAGGAATTTATAGCAGAAATTTGTTATGATTAGATGTTTATAGGTGTAGTGATGGGGCGCAATTGTGATCGTCATAAGGGAATATTGTAGTTTTAACAGTGGATTTGAGGGTGCTTGAGTCGAAATTTGGTCTTCCAGGGTTTCAACATGTTTTAGAGAGAATTATAAAGTTTGATTGGACATTTAGAATGTAAAGAATGGGCTAGAGAATGAACCAAGCAAAAATTAGATGCTGACATATGAAATATAGGAAGAATCTGTCTCGCCCATGCTGCAATAAGAGAATTCTGTAGTCAGATTAGAATCAGGTTGGAAATCAACTTAGTTTACGTGATTGAACAGAAAATAAAATTAAAAAGGCCAAAGCTAAACCAAAATTGAATGAAAAAAATTAGTGCACACTATGTAGGGTCTGTGGTCAACATATCAAGCCAAACAAGTAGCCATGGGGTTGCAAGAACTGGATGGGTTGAGTTGGGTGTGGGTTATCAATCCATCGATTAACCACTGCAACCAAAGACAACCCAGCCCAAACAGAGTTCATCGGCCGATAGAGCATGCCCCACAGCATTGTTCCCAATGCACAGTTGGGATGTGCTGCGGTGCATGTGTAGGGTCAACTTGTGGGGAACAAATCCAAGCTCTAACGGAATTTGCTGGGCTCCCCACGGAGTGTACCCTGCAGTTTTTTTTTTTTTTTTTTGTAGAAAATGCAAAAAACAAAGTATGAAAACGCAGAAAAAATTGCAGAGAATGAATGAAGATGCAGAAATCTTGAAGAAAAATGCATGAAATGCAGAAATTTTACAGAAAATGCATAAATTTTGTAGAACATTTATAGAAAAATGTGGAAAATTACAAATTGCAGAAATATGCATGAAAATACAAAAAAAGCAGAAAATTTGCAAGAATTTTAGAAAAAAAAGGCATGAAAACACAGAAGTTATAATTGATGATCATTAGTTAAAGTTATAATTGAATAATTAACACCTAATAAACTGGATAACAAAGTAATTAAATAATTAATAATATTATGACATAATTTATTATTATTATTATTATTTTAACTGCTTTCTTGTTTACTCCATTATCTATTAAATATTTGTTTGGATTTAATATTTATTCAATCACCTTATGCGTTATGTTATTATTTTTTTACTTTTTATTTATTTATCTGCTTATTTTATTACTTAAGTTATTCTTGTAATTTGTTAATTACATTTTATTAATCATTTTACTATTTTTATTAATTAGTATATTATTTTTAGTTATTTAATTATTTGTATTAATTGTTTTGTTATTTTATTAATAATTTATTTATTAATCATTTTATGATTTTATTAGTACCAAAATATTCCCAATATACAGTTGGAAGGGCTCACCGGACGGATTTTATGAATAGGGTTGGTAATTTTGACCCTTCCAACCCATCCATGGCCATACGGGCCATACCCACCCATGTGGCGGGTCAATATGGGTCGAGTGACCCATTTGGCTCACGGACAAGGGGTCGGGTCACGGTGAATTGGGTTCGAAGGTTCTCAGGTGGACTCGGTTTTCACTTTTCACTCTTATTTCTCAAAAAGTTCACTCTCTTCGTTCGAACTTCGAAGGTTAGGCCGTTCGAACACCAAAGGTTCTCACTCTGAGTTCGAACGAACAACGAACAACGAAGTTCTCAGACTCAGCTCGTTATTTCTGAGTTCGTTGCAGAGCAGAAGGCTTCTAGATTTATTCGATCACATTTCCTACGACGGTGGTCGCAGGACAAACCCGAGGGCCGAGACCCCTGAACTTCGAACTCTGCAATCTTTCACCTCTATCAGTAAGTCCTCTATCAATCTCTTTGAACTCTGCAATCTTTCACTTCTATCAGTCAGTAAGTCCTCTATCAATCTCTTCGAACTCTGCAGTCTCTCTCTCTGATTTTAATCCCCCGATTTCAACTTCATCCACGGTTTCTTTGAAAGGGGAGATCTCCTGTGAGGAGAAAATAGGAATAAAATGCGGGTACCTTAGGCCATGTTTGGTTCGCTTGCACTGGCTTCATCACCAATTTTGAAAAAGAATAGGCAAAAATGAATGAGATGTGAGTGTTTGAGTAACCATTTATTGGACTCATGAAACTTTGCTCTCGCGGAAACGACCAATTTGTAGGCCCAAATTACTGTCGGGTAGGTGTGTCAGTTTAGAATTGATGTCAATTCAGGACGGGCGTTGGTGCATAAAATGTGGGTTATTATCATCTTCAATGTTTATAGTTCTTCCGTGGAAATCAGAAATCTGCATCGAATCTGTCCGTACTTTTTCGAAAAACGTAACCTCTCTCTCATGATCTCTTTTTTTTTTCGTCTTCTTCTCAAGCGACATACAGAGCACGATTTCTTCATTTTCTTCTGTTTTTTTCCCCTTTTTCTATTTCTTACTCTGTTTTTCCCCCTTTTCTAAGTCGACCACCAATCTCGGCCTATAACCATTAAGAACAAGCAACATTGATTAAGGTATTTCTTACTCTGTTTGAAACCCTTTTTTCCCTTTTAAACCAACTCTTTGTGGATTGCAACTGTTATGCATGTAAAGTTTTTTGACGTGTGTACGATTTCCTGCATTTATAAATATTACTCTCATTCTTGCCGGAAAAAAAAAAAATTTTTTAGAAAAAAAGCATTTAATTTATAGCAATATTTTCTTATTTTTTCATTTTTATTTATTTTTTCTATCTTAAAACTTCATCTTGCTAAGAATGAGAGTTGAACCAATGGCCTTAGTTAGCCACCATTTGTTTTTGATCTTGAGCAATGGGTTGTATGTGGGGTACCTGTAATCCGTAGGCAAGTGGTGGTCTACAAACAGGATTTATCAAGTCACTTGTTTGGCTTCTGGTATATAAGGTTGGATGGTAAAATTGGAGACCACCACTTCATAGCAATGGGTTGTATGCATGTACTTGTCTTCAAACACTTGCGCTTGCCTTTTGGCAATTTGCTCTCCATTAACAATTTAAATTATAAAGTATAAATCCCTCTAATGATATTGTGACGGAATCACTTTGGCAACAACTTGCCTTAGCCAAGTTGATGGTGTCCCATCATAGGCGCGACTTGGCACAGATTTGGCGTACTGGCATAGGTGCAACTTGGCAGTCTGGCACGACCTAGCCCTGGCGCGAGCTGGCAGCTTGGCACAAGCGCAAGTTGGCAGCCTGGCACTGGCACGACTTGGAAGCCTAGCCCTGGT